GAGCCAGATAGTCTCTTCCCCTCACTGATGCTTTTCTGTGTAAACATGACTGTGTCAGTACATATCAAATTACATCACCATCTCTTCCATGAAGTGGCATGCAATACCACCATGGAAGACGAGTACATAATGTCTCAGTCTCCAAGAAATTACCTTTCCACCATCACTTCCACCGTCCTTTGTTGTCCCATCTTTAGAGGCATAGCAGACAGCAGTCTCTGAAAATGACCTCACCCGTACCCGAGGAGGTAAATGAGTTTCCCGAGACCCCTGACGGCTCAGAGAAAACAACTGGATCCGGGAGCAGGACAATCCTGTAACAACAGCAACATCCATTTTGATTCCTAACGGCATTGTGTATTGTGAACACATCTCAAATTAATGACAATGGATGTTATTTCAAATTATTTTATATTATTACGTATCCTGCACTTTATGCCAACAGGAGGCAGATAGGTCAATTCGTGCATTAACCTGGCAGCTCACGCCATAGGCACATTTCTCCGCATCGGTGAGCAAAGACAATCTTGCCCTTTTCTACAGCTGGTCTTTATAATAACCTCATTAATTATGTGTTTACAGATGAGCAGGGTGTCACTTTTTCTGCAATAATTAAAGTTAAAGAACTATCTTATAATGGTCTGCAAGGAGAGGCTTCTTGTCTGTCTGTCCATCTGTCTGTCTCTATTTAGACACAACTGGCAAACAGAAATACATACATTTAAAAACACAGATATAGTGGATGGGCAGATTTTGATATTTCATAGTGGGAGGGTAAAAAAACGGAATTTAAATTGAAACTTAACAGACTTGACAAGCATGAGAGGAAAATCACATAATGTATCAGATCATTTAATACATAATTCATATCACTCGAAACAGATTATCAGTGTGTTTTCTTGCCAGATTTGCCTGGGGCTTGAAGAAAAAATAAAATAAACAGACACTAAAACTATGCTCCAGAGCGCGAGCCAATCACAGAGCTCTACACTGCACGCTGTGTGGACAGCCTAATTTGTTAACATAGGTGCTCAAATGTGTCGAGCAGCACTTTGGGGCGTGTCCGCCTCCCGTGTGTCCCTGGCATTACCCTGAAAAATTATCAGGCAACAAGCAAATATCAAAATGATAAAAATGTCATAACTGCTACTATTTTTCATGTAACTAGAGCTGAAAAGAGCCGTAGAGTTATAGTAGTAACCAAAGAGTAGTTGATTAATAGATTATTAGAACATTAGAAATTAATTAATTGAGTAAATAATCTACTCAAACTCAAATTGGCTAGAGGTTTCTGCTGGTATTGTTATCTCATAGGAGGGCCACTTCAACGTTTACGTACTACAATAAAGTGCAATATTCTGAATATATTTTAATTACTAACATCATCCTTAACAAAAAATGCAAACAGCAGTTCCTATACATTTTATACCATCGTTGTTGCTTGCTGTCACAACAAATGAAGACCAAAAACCTCCTGTTCTCTCCTTATCAACTCTTTGCACACATTTACAGCACCCTTGACATTATTTAGAGCCAATTTAAATAAAGTGTCATTGTATATGAAGTGGTAGTTTAAATCAATAATAATAATTAAAAGCGAGCTGGATTAAATTATATTTTAGATATCATATTGTGGCCCAGAGGGAGGGGGATGGGGACAGTTTGATAACCCTGATCTAAAAATGAACTGACAATGAAAATTGCAGCCCTGGTCTGTCAACGGGGGCAGTGACCTTGAAAGTTCACAACAAAAAGCAATATAATGTTGCTTATATTACATATTCTATATGTGCCGCAGCTATTGCACATATAGTGTTGAACCTTTTATAGTGTGTGAAGGTCTCTGGCAGGCTGGTAATGTAACAAGTTAATTTATTTATAGCTACATAAACACTATTTCCAGTTTTTTTTTAGTGATGTAAGTGTTGTTGTTGAAGTCAAATCTCTCCAGCTCTAAGAAAAGCCTGGGAGATGTTAACAACGTTAGCTTAGCCACAACTACAAAACATTTTAAGGGACTTTTCCCACCTGCTGCTGGTGTTACATAGCTGTCACAACAAACAGCTACAGGCTGAAGCAAATAGCACAATGTCACATAAGCTCTGAGCAGCTGGCAGGGTGTGTGTGTGAGTGCTTTCCTTTTCTTACCTCTGTGGGCAGTGTTTAGGAACAACCTGGCAGCCGAAGTGCATGGACAGGACATAACTGTGCTTTCGGCTCAAATTCCTGAAAATAAACATTAAAAAAATAAGGTGGTTACACGGTGAACTGAGTGGGGGTGGCTCAACTAGCGAACAGGAGAGGCCGGTTGAGCGTTAACACATTTCATAACTTCATCGTCACTGTTAGCTTTAGCAAAGCAGGTCACTGACTGCTGAAGGTGGTCAACAGTGCTGCTGACTGCTTCTTTATTTCTTTCATTTTACACCACCTGGAATACATTGATTGATTTGGGCTAACACGACTAACTACCCCCAGCTGTCTAATCAGCAAAATAAACCATGTAATATAGCGAGGGGGGGGGACAGGTAACTGCTAGCTACGTAAGCTAGGCCCAAACCAGAGCTACCTTGAGCTTCTGGTAGTTAAATAACAAACTACCCCGGTTGGACGGACCGCGGCGGACAGCGAGGGGCTTCAACCTGCCGTCTGTTAGACACAACACATAGCTAACTATTGGCAACATGTAACCAGCTTAGTTTTTACTCACAGGGCACGATGAAAGCAGTCGGGTCTTCACAGCCCCCTTCGGGAGGAAAATAAATAAAAATTGCTAAGTCACCGCAGCTCTCGCTCTCTTGTTTTAAGTCTGACAGGTCAGTGTGTCATAGTAGCGTTAATGTTTAGTGTAAATGTGGGAAGAGTTGGCTCCTTCAGGCCGCTGTTTCCCCAGGTGGGACACCCGAAGTGATGTAACGCTGGCTGTGGTGAACTAGGTCGGTTATCCGCTAGCTAACGTTAGCCAGCTAGCCTTCCTTCTGGGTACGGTGGCCCCAGAAAACGCGATTCAAGTGGTGTAACCGGTGTAAGCAATATGGCGGCTGGTTAATGTGTATGCGGGTCAGACCCACAGAGCCCATCCACACAGGTTGAGATCTAGTAATCCACAAGAGGCGTTAACGCGGTGGACGGAAGATGCGTTCAAGTGATCCTCGTAATATACACCATACAGTCCAATCCAACTTTATTTGTTATATTAAGCACTTTAAAACAACCAAAGTTGACCTAAAGTGCTGTACAGGAGAATAAATAAGACATCATAAATAAAAGACATAACAGCTCACATGAGGCGCAAAATAACATATAAAACAACAATAAAATGAAAAGACATAAAACATGAGTAAAAATAATAACCATGCAATAAAAAGCAATCAAAAAGTAAAAATAACAAATACAAAAAATAAAATAAATAAATCAAGTAAATAAAGTCGACATCTTACTAGGTGTAAAAGGCCACAGAGAAGAGATGGGTTTTAAGACTGGTTTTAAAAACAGACAGAGAAGAGGCCTGTTTAATGTGCAGAGGCAGATTATTCCATAATTTAGGAGCAGACACAGCAAAGAGGGAGACTGTTGTGAAATGGTGCCGCGTTTGGGTGTTCCTCGTAAATCGTTGTATCGATCCCAAAATTCAGGACTTTTTCATTTTCTAGTCTGTATTTACACTACTCACAAAAAGTTAGGGATATTCGGCTTTCGGATGAAATTTCAGAATCTACATAAAATGCACTATAACCTTTCCAGGTGATCTTAATTTGACCTTCTACTCAAATGCCCTACTTTCATGATGTAATATCACTGTAGCATCAACTTTTTACATTTTCCATAAATTTCACCCGAAAGTGGAATATCCCTAACTTTTTGTGAGTAGTGTAACTTATTGGTGTGGGAGATGCCAAGCATACTAGGATACATAACATATACCACTCAGATATCATAATAAATAACACAAGTTTTGGTAATAATAACTGTCGTCAACTCATTTGTTTTCTAAATAATCAGAAATAGGGAAAAAAAACTGCTCTAGCAGGTTTATATATTCTGTAACAATATATTCTACTCGATCTCCCTTTGTATAAATCAGTATCGAGAGTTAACATAGCCTTCAAGTTTATTAGTGGTATCCAAAATAGCCTTTCATTCTACCAATGTATATGTTTTTTCTAGAAATCATTTCTATCAATACTTGCAAGTAAAAAAAATGCAATGCAAAATGCAAATTTGAAGAGTTACATGGTAAAGACTCACCAAGGCTCAAGTTATAACCCCCCAAGAAACAACTGGACAAATCTTAAAAAAATTTAAAATGTGTACTATATCAAATATAAATGGGAGAAGGAACTCAAAACAACTTTACCTGATAATGAGTGGATATTTACCTCTACATAAGATCACCCTATTTGAAGGAATATGCTTGGAAGATGATAATAAGGTATTTTTGAACACGTCAACTTTATCCAGGTAAATATAAAGTCTAGTTGCTGAATGTGGGGAAAATATTGCTGACCATACACACATATTCTTTAAATGTAAAAAATACAAGATACTTTATACAAATAGAACAGGGAAAAATGTAGTAATACTTTTGGGAACACACCCCAAAAGCCTACAAAAGGAAGAATTAGATCACCTTTGGATTCTGAGTAACCCTTCGTCCGACCCACAACATGAGGTTAGAAGTAGCAAGATTATAAATTTTAGTTGTCTGTACTTCTTTCATATCAATTTAAACTATCCCTTCATATACATTAAAGTAAAAATACAGTTATCTCTAAAAAATCTGTTTAGTTTGGTGCAAAATAATTGCAAATGTTGAAGGTGCCTCCAAATGCAGCAGGTTTCTGCCCTGCGCCCAAAATGTAGCACAGCCGAAACTCATCCATGATGTGTTTCTATACATCACGTGTCTACAGTGTCACACAATATCAATATCACACAACACATACAGTATATATCATCTATATCTATATGAAGAACTTATAATGAGTCACACATTTAGATTCAGATTCAGATTCATTCTTTATTGTCCTCAGTGGAGGAAATTTGTTGTCGCAGTCTGTACAAAGAGCACCTTCAGCATGAGTTCTACACACAAACTACACATGGTACACATATACAGACAATATACACATATCTACACATATAACACAGGAGTGACATCGTTAACTTGTCTGTGAGTTTAACGCTCTCATAGCGCAGGGTACAAAACTTTTTCCAAAGCGTGCCTTTTTGTAGAGCAGCTGTCTGTATCTACGGCCAGATGGGAGAAGGGTGAAGCATGAGTTGAGAGGGTGGCTGGGATTGTGTACTATGGTAGTTGCTCTACGAGCAGTGACAATATTAATGAGGGCTGGTAGGTTGGGAGTGGGAAGACCTATTATTTTCGAGGAAGTGTTAGTGATTTTAAGAAACTTATTCCTGGTGATTTACTGCAAACATTATCCAGTGTGACCTATTAAACCTATACCAGAAACTTTTCCCTGTGTCAAAATCAGGTCAGTGTTTCCAAGAATTCATGTAAACCAAACTGAGATTTAAAAAAACAACTTCTATTGCCCATTTTACAAGGTTTGTAGTTATTTATTTTTAGGTTAGTTTAAGTTTAACTCTGCAGGTTTTCACACTGCTGTTGTCCCACATATACAAAAGCTTTTTGTTGGGATAATATGACAGCATGGCCAAGATGCCATTAGCTGGCCTTAAATCAAAACTTGCATCCTGAGGACTCTCTTTCTTTAAATCGAAGGCATATGTAACTCTTCTGTCTCTGTTGTCTGTAAAATATAACATGCCGCATACAATGAAAGCATTTCCTGCTTTAGTTGTAGGGTAGTGAGTGTTAATGACTGACTCCACAGAGAATGTGTCAGGGCTGAGCTTCGCAACCATCATACTGTCGTCTCTTTCTGCTGCAAAAATGACCCACAGTCCATTTTCATCCACAGCAAACTTGAAGTAGGTCTTGGAGTTGCGGAAAAGATAAGTAAGGTTGTGATATCTGCTGTTTGCCATGATCAGAAAGTCTGTTCTCCTGGTGTTCAGGTCAAATCTGTAAAATATTCAGAATGAGTGAATTAAGAAGCTGAGTACAGAAAATTCAGTGTGTCAGTGTATATAAGTTGATAAGGCAAGAACAAAGGTTTACCATGTTTGACACTTACTTTATAAGTCTGTTTGTTCCTGCGTTGTGAAAGTACAATGACTTCTTGTACACAACATGTCCACAGCCCTGGTAGAACCTCTTTATATCTATTACTTTGTTGCTTGTATTCTGAATCGTAGAAATGTTCCTGTGCTCCGCCAAAAGTCGACCTGGGGGAAGATGATGTGTCTGTGTTACATCCAACAATGGCTCACGTATCTCTGTGATGAAGGGCAGACTTGTGGTTGCTGTTTAAAATCACCTGAAAAATGATCGGCCAGCCAGTATCGACCATCATCCAGCTGGGACGCATCGGTCATCCAGGCTCCATAAGTGCTTTGCATCTTGGTGGCTTTCTCCGAACATTTTATACTTTTCATTTGGCACTCTAAGTGAAAAAAGATATGTACTTTAGTATCATAGATAGATAGATAGATAGATAGATAGATAGATAGATAGATAGATAGACAGACAGACAGATAGATAGATAGACAGATAGATAGACAGACAGACAGATAGATAGATAGATAGATAGATAGATAGATAGATAGATAGATAGATAGATAGAGAGATCTAACCTGGTCTTGTCAAGCTCTCTTTGGTCTCATTGTCCTTGTTGTTGGTATTGAGTAGATATGAAGAGTCTAAAATAAAAGAAAGAAGGAGGTGTATTTATATTTTCTGTTCCTAATCAATATATCTGCTGATCAGAGGTGATTATCTATCTATCAATCTATTTTAAACCATACCACTGTATTGTATGTATTTCAATGAACCTTGGAATAAAATTAATCTTTATTATAAACCAGCTGGCAGTGTGCTTTAAGAGAAAAGAGAAATGTTATATAAAAATAATAAGACAGTTTCTTACCACTTTTCATGGGTGTATCCATAATGTTTCTACTGTTATTGAAGGTGTCCGTCTTTTGAGCCATGTCTGCAGACAGTGAGGCTGTAAAATAAAAGGAAACATAAATACGTAGAGACAAAAGCAAATGTTTTTCTATCGTTGTTTACTTTTACATAGTGTTACAGAGTGTTTCCTACCTGTTAGTAATTTAATTGGTGCCTCTGTAGCATTTTCTCTATCGGTATCTTTTAAGGTGTCGTGGCTGTTGTCTTGATGAGAGGATGCTGACTCTAGAAAATAAAGGTGAGATTTAAAAAGATGAGCACAGTATGAAGTTAAAGTCTGTGTGTACAAACATTTAATGAATGAGTCCCAGTATTTCCTACCTGTTAATACGTTAATTGGTGCCTCTGTAACATCCTCTGTGCTGGTTTCAGTCCACCTGTCAGGTGTGTAGTCTGGACGAGGTGATACTAACTCTGAAATAAATAAATAAAACAGAATTTAGATTTTCATAAATCTTTAACCTGAACCAGGCAGTATGTGGTCTTACAGTGAAGTCTCATTCCAAGCTAATATTTAACAAGTTTATAAGATTATTAGATTGAGTAGATTTTAATATTTGTGCCTTAACTCAACTCAACTTTATTTATATAGCACCTTTCAGACAAACACATCAACAAAACAACAAAAACAACAATAAATGAAATATTGCAAGGCTAAAAATGTATACAATAAAAACAATAAAATGTAAAACATCTAACTATATACATAGTTGGTGTGAAAATAAACACCAGGGACACAAATAAGATTAGAACCTAAAAACTAAGGCTGTAACATTACTCCAAAGAAAAGACATTAAAAAGATTGATTAAACATACATGTGAATATCAATACTGATACCAAATACAGTAAACAATAGGACAGTTTCTTACCATTTTTCATAGTAATAGTAATGTTTCCGTTGCCATTGAAGGGGTCACTTTTCTGAATCACGTCTGGAAGAAGAAGGGCTGAAGAATGAAATGAGACATTATGTTACATTTACAAATAATATAAATAATGTTGGACACCTTTAATTAGGATACAAGAGACCTTTATGTATAATTTAAAACACAGTTAATACCTGTTAATAATTTAATTGGTGCCTCTGTAACATTGTCTGTGTTTGTATCATTCAAGCTGTCGTAGCTGTACTCTGGATGAACTGATACCGACTCTAGAAAAGAAAAGAGAAAAGGTGTGCGTTAAACGTGTTCTTTACATGATCAGAATATGTTCAAATAATGACATCTTCCTACCACTGAAATCAGTTTCTTACCAGATTCCACTTTTGTATCTGGAAGTTTTCTAGAGACTGTGTCATTCAGTACATCTCTGCTTTCATCAGCTGAATGTGGTGGAGTTTGAACTAGAAGAAATGGTACAGATATTAAATATTAGTCCTCATTCAACAGCACATCATAAAAACCATAACTCATATAATTTATTGATATGTACTATTTTCATTTGCAGCTTAAATTCACAAAATGTACTCACCAGTTTTTGTCCATCTCTCATTGCTAGTCAAATTTAGCTTGTTGTTATTTTGGGGTGAATACAAAGAATCTAAAGAAATAATAATAAGGTATTTTATAATAACAGTTATTAAAAATGTGTATTTTTAAGATATATATATTCTAAGGTATCAAGTATTTTTGAGGGAAAAGAAAATCAATCAAATGTATCAATAATGGTTCCACTGTTGTTAAAAGCATCACTGTTGTGGTCCACATAAAGTGTTTTAAAGTTATGGTCACTTGCTTGACTCATAATTCAAAACACAGTGTTTCCTACCTGTTAATATTTGAACTGGTCCCTCAGTAACATCCTCTGTTTTGGAGTCATTCGGGGTGTCCTGGCTGGATTCTTTATAAAATGATACCAAATCTAGAAAATAAAAGTTTAACACAAAAAAACAACAAAACAAATCAGTAAAGAAGTCTGTCAATAAAGTCTTTTAGCCACTGAAACGCTTGCTCACCAGATTCCTTATTTGTGTCTTTAAGTTTATCTGAGTCAGTGACATTAAAAACATCTCTGGCTTCATGAGCTGGAGGTGGTGTTGGTAACACAAAAGAAAGGTGAGATTAAAAAGATGAGTGAAGTTAAGATCTAATTTGTGTGTAGAAGTGTACAGACATTTAATGAATGAGTCCCTGTGTTTCCTACCTGTTAATAATTGAACTGGTCCCTCTGTAACATCCTTTGTGTCGGAGTCATTCAGGGTGTCCTGGTTGAATTCTTTATGAAATGATACCAAATCTAGAAAATAAAAAGGCATTGAGTTTAACATCTTTAATATAATCAAAATACAGTTTATTATATGCACCCTGCATTCAACAGAACACTACAGCAGCTGATCTGACTAAAGTTTCAAGCAGAGGTTGACAAATAGTTTCTGACCGGAGGAGTGAAAAGTTGAGAAATTCTTAATTTTTATGTCATAAACCTTATTTTTAGGGTATTAATGAGTTAATACTGGTCATATTTTTTTACATTCCTTTCCAATATCAATTTTATTAAGAAATGCTATGGGATTAAAAGGGTACTGAAATTCCTATTGAGTAAAAAAAACAACAATAAAATCAGTAAAGAAGTCTATCAATAAAGTCTTTAAGCCACTGAAACGTTTGCTCACCAGATTCCTTATCTGTGTCTTTAAGTTTATTTGAGTCAGTGACATTAAAAACATCTCTGGTTTCATGAGCTGGAGGTGGTGTTGGTAAAACTGTGGAAAGAAAGGTGAAATTTATGAATGAAGTTAAGATCTAATCTGTGTGTACAAGCATTTAATGAATGAGTCCCTGTGTTTCCTACCTGTTAATAATTGAACTGGTCCCTCTGTAACATCCTTTGTGTCAGAGTCATTCAGGGTGTCCTGGTTGAATTCTTTATGAAATGATACCAAATCTAGAAAATAAAAAGGCATTGAGTTTAACATCTTTAATATAATCAAAATACAGTTTATTATAGCACCCTGCATCCAACAGAACACTACAGCAGCTGATCTGACTAAAGTTTCAAGCAGAGGATGACAAATAGTTTCTGACCTGAGGAGTGAAAAGTTGAGAAATTCTTAATTTTTATGTCATAAACCTTATTTTTAGGGTATTAATGAGTTAATACTGGTCATATTTCTTTACATTCCTTTCTAATATCAATTTTATTAAGAAATGCTATGGGATTAAAAGGGTACTGAAATTCCTATGGAGTAAAAAACAACAACAATGAAATCAGTAAAGAAGTCTATCAATAAAGTCTTTAAGCCACTGAAACGTTTGCTCACCAGATTCCTTATCTGTGTCTTTAAGTTTATTTGAGTCAGTGACATTAAAAACATCTCTGGTTTCATGAGCTGGAGGTGGTGTTGGTAACACTGTGGAAAGAAAGGTGAAATTTATGAATGAAGTTAAGATCTAATCTGTGTGTACAAACATTTAATGAATGAGTCCCTGTGTTACCTACCTGTTAATAATTGAACTGGTCCCTCTGTAACATCCTTTGTGTCAGAGTCATTCAGGGTGTCCTGGTTGAATTCTTTATGAAATGATACCAAATCTAGAAAATAAAAAGTACTGACTTTAACATATTTAATATAATCAAAATACAGTTTATTCTATGCATCCTGCATTCAGCAGAACACTACAGCAGCTGATCTGACTGGAGTTTCAAGCAGAGGATGACAAATAGTTTCTGACCTGAGGAGTAAAAAGTGGAGAAATCTCTGGCCAGTTGTAATTTATTGAGAACTATTGAAGTTCTTTAAGATGCAGTTTAGGATTTTGTGCAGAGCTCGGATCATGGCGCAAGAAAATTACTTTACACAACAAATATTTGAAAGTAAATTTTTATATAAGACATCTATTATTATAATTATATTGTTTCAAGTGGTGGAAGATATCTAAGTACATTTACTCAAGTACTGTACTTGTTTATCATTTTGAGTACTTGTAGTTTACAACTTTGAGCCACTTTATAATTCTACGACTACATTTAAGAGAGACATATTCTACTTTTTTACACCACTCTTTTTATTTGACAGCAATAGTTACTGGTTACTTTTAACTTAACGTTTTATATAAAACAACATTAAATTTTTTAATTGAATCTTCATGTCAGGTTTTTAAGGTATTAACTCACTTTAAAGTTACTATCGCTCCAATTTTTACAATTCTAATATTAACAAAGGATTTAAAAGTGCACTGTGTGTACAAACATTTAATGAATGAGTCCCAGTATTTCCTACCTGTTAATACATTAACTGGTGCCTCTGTAACATCCTCTGTGCTGGTTTCAGTCCACCTGTCAGGTCTGTAGTCTGGACGAGGTGATACTAACTCTGAATTAAATTATTAAACAGAATTTAGATATTCATAAATCTTTAACCTGAACCAGGCAGTATGTGGTCTTACAGTGAAGTCTCATCACAGCTAATATCTAACAAGTTTATGGTATAAGATTGTCCTGAAACAACTGCGTCTGTCAATACTGATACCAAATACAGTAAACAATATGACAGTTTCTTACCTTTTTTCATGGTGCTAGTAATGTTTCCATTGCCATTGAAAGTGTCACTGTTCTGAATCACATCTGGAAGAAGAAGGGCTGAAGAATGAAATTACATTATGTTACATTTACAAATAATAATGATGTTTGTCGGACACCTTTAATTAGGACACATTTATTTATAATTCAGAACACAGTTAATACCTGTTGATAATTTAATTGGTGCCTCTGTAACATTGTCTGTGTTTGTATCATTCAAGCTGTCATGGCTGTACTCTGGATGAACTAATACCGACTCTAGAAAAGAAAAGAGAAAAGTTGTGCATTAAAAATGTTCTTTACATGATCAGAATATGTTCAAAGAATGACGTCTTCCTACCACTGAAATCAGTTTCTTACCAGATTCCACTCTTGTATCTGGACGTTTTCTAGAGTCTGTAACATTCAGTACATCTCTGCTTTCATCAGCTGAATGTTGTGTTGGTGATTCTGTAGAAATAAAGATGAGCTTCAAATAAATGACTATGTACAAACATCATGTAATATTATTAACGGTGGTGGATGAAGTTTAAAGATCATTTACTTAACTAAAAGTACTTCTTCCACTCAGTAAAAATACTCCATTACAAGTCCTGTGTTTGATATCTTACTTAAATAAAAGTAAGTTAGTGTAATCAGGAAAATATGCTTAAAGTGTTAAAAGTAAAAGCACTCTATATCATTAGATTATTATTACTCATTTCTCCATTAATCGATTGACATAAAATGGTTTCTAAAACATCTGAAAATATTGAAAATGCTGTCACAACTACCCACAGAGTGACATCTTCACAATGTTTGTTTTTGTCCAACTTATAGTTCAAACGTCAGAAATTATTAGATATTTAAACAGAAAAGCAACCCTCACATTTGTGAAGCTGGAACCAACACGGGAAAAATTACTTAAAGGATTATCAAAATAGTTTTAATCAACTTATCATTTCAGCTGTTCTTGTACAAACTGTTGGGTAGTTCATTTCAATAAGCTCTTCTTACGTTTTTATAGGAAAATCTAATTTATAGTGTAGTAACTAAAGCTGTCAGATAAATGTAGTACGTAAAAAATAAACAATAAGTAGAAAGTGGCATGAAAACAAAATATTCAAGTAAACTATCTCAAATTTATACTAAGTACAGCACTTCATTATCACCATTGATCATTCATCAGTAATCAACATTAAGGATGAACTTGAAGCTGCAAGTGACACAGCGTCTAATCAAAATCAGTAACTCATATAATTGTTGCAAATTCTGAAAGTCTTCCTAACCGCTCTTGTTGATTGTGGAGCTGCTGATGTTTTCTGTGTCGGTTTCATTGAAGTCATCCTTAATTAGAACAGCAGATGAATCTAAATATGCAGAAAACGAGGAAACAGAGGAAGTTAAGTCCTTTGATTGTTTTCACTTAAACACTTCAACTATAATCACACTGAGATCTTAAATGCACCTTAAAGAGTCAATGATTAAACCAAAAGCCTAAAAATAATAATCAGGTAATAAATTAATTAATAGCCAACACTTTATGGTGAAAGATTTTAGACCTTCATGTTGGGGAATAACATTTACAGACAATATAATCAAACAGTTAACTGAATAACATGTAACATAACGATGTCATGATGATTCTGTAGAGATGTTCTCACCCATCAACATGTTGCTTTGATGGGTTTGTTCTCTGACGGTCTTGTTTCTTGCTTTAGTACACCTAGCAGAACAGGATGGACCAGGTGGGCCTGGTGGACCCGGTGGACCCCTTGGACCAGGAGGACCTTCAAATAAACACATACAGTAGCTACAAGTCAGACGTGTGAGCTAATAAGCAATACTGCTGGTCAGTGACACAGGCTCTGTACAACAGCAACAATAAAAGAACAACAGGAAAGTAACTAATGTGGGAAACTATGTGAATCATTAATATAATATTGTTCAATATTGTAAAGCGACTTTTAAGAGAAACTTTAAATTTTCCAATTCAAAGTTGTGGATCAGTTTGTTTACATCACACAACAAACAAAACATAACAGCAATCTATATATTGTTAGAAAGTTTGTCCTGAAAATAAATAATAAAATGTTAAAACTCAGAAAATGAAATACATATTTTGTAAAATCAGCTTTTCAGATGTAAACTGACTAAAGTTTGGACACAGTCTGACTGTGAGACGTAATGTTTCCTCTCTGTTAATCATATAATTCATATCAGGTTTAAAGAGGTTGTCATCTCTCACCCTCGATGAGAATGTCATTGTAGGTTTCTCCTTTCAGCCGAGGAGGCCCAGGGTCTCCTTTTGGTCCTGGTTCTCCTTTTTCACCAGGAGGTCCTAGTCATTGACAAGCGTCGTCATTAGTTTAAAACACTGAGTTGAACATGGAAATTTAAACAAAAACAAGATGATCATCATCGTGTTAATTTTAGGACTGCAAACGTGTCAACAGATGATCTTTTTAAACAATTTTCTCTCAGTCTTAAAGGTCCAGTGCGTAACGCTGAGGAGGATCTATTGGCAGAAATTAAATATAATAATTATAGGTTTGGTTTTATTAGTGTATAATTACCTGAATATAGTAATCGTTGTGTTTCCGTTCAGAATGAGACATTTATATCTACAGACGCTGCGGGTCCTCTTCTATGGAGTCCGCCATGTTGAACTGCCATGTTTCTACAGTAGCCCAGAATGGACAAACCAAACACTGGCTGTAGATAGGGCCTTTCATGTTTTCTGTGAGTTTTGCAGCCACCGTAGTTTCTCCTACACACTTATAGCTCGTTCTCATTCTCGGGTCGTCAAATACAGACATGCATAGTGTTCAGTTAGTGGCAATCTGCCAACTCACCTCTCGATGCCACTAAATCCTGCATGCTGGTCCTTTAAATATAACCCAGCTGATCTGTGATAGCCTGAACAGTTACTGAAATGTCCCAGTGAATTAAAAACTGTGCAATGCTTCTCTATGGCTGAAAATAACAACAAGAAACCAGTATGATTCAGATGTGAACAGTAAACATTTCCCTATAAATCAACCTCCCACGCATTTCTAATGCTGCAGATGGACAAAGTCTCTTGTAGACAGTGAGTGGGATTCGCATGTTATGTAACCACGGCTGAACAATGGAAGACTGTTTGAAACTTGTGACTGACTTTCTGTTTCTGTGTGTATTTGTCAGATCTGGTGTTGGGAGGGGTTATAAGATTTCTAAGACAGATCAGATCTCTCACCTTTTCTTCCTCGTCTCCCCTCCGGCCCGGGCACACCCTGTGGTCCTGGTGAACCAGCTCTACCAGGCAAACCTAACAGGCCAAAGTAACCGTGACTGTAGTAACAAATTCAGCTTAGTTTAAGCAACTGATGCAGTTTATTAAAGTGCCTGTTTTTACCTGGTGGTCCAGGTGGTCCTGGGAAAATTATAGAAATTTTTACAAACATTAAATACAGAAGAAATGCCAGAAACCATAAAAATCAAAGTGCTGGAATGGAGAATATTTATGAAGTGCACCTGTTAAACAAATTCCTCTGGAGCTGTTACACAGATCTATTAAGGCTTTGACCTGAATAAAAAACAGAAAGAAACCGCAGGTGAAGTCAGTGTTAACTGTAAATATAGGAATATTTTTGAAGTTACACATTTTGGATACACTTCTTGCTTTTCTTATATGAGACATCTTGCCAAATGCAACCATGCTATTTGCTCTCAAGATTTGAGCGATAACTCCTATTTAAGTTGCACATTATTGACATTATTAGAGCTCAAAGGATTATTGATTATTGAATTCATCAGCCAGTTTTTAAAAAGAAAAACTCACTTGTTCCAGCTACTTAAATGTGAATGTTTGCTGGTTTTCTTAGTCTTGCATGACAGTAAATTTAATATGTTCAGGTTTGTACCATTAATCAGACAAACAAGCAGTTTAAAGACATCAGCTTGAGCTCTGGGATCTTTACACTATTGTCTCTTTTGGTAAAATACTTATTATTATTAGTATTAAACTTCTCTTTGTCAAAGAAATACAGTAGCGCCCTCTAAGGAAATGCCAGTTCCCAGTGGAGGTGATTACAGTTGAGGGAGGAGCAGGTAACAGTCGTGCTGCTCAAAGTATTTATCCAGGAAACATTCAATGGAAAACCAGACCTCTTCTTAAGCTCTGCAGCAGACTCTTAAATTCTTTGCATTACACAGGCATGCTTCTTATCCCAAAAGGGAAAAGAGGGGAAATGTTTCTGTTAAAGATGACAGCAAAGAGTGGTTGATTGCTCCCCTGTTCTTGCTCATAACATAATGAGAAATTCATAAATCTCTTTTCATGTTTGTTGTTGTTGTTGTTGTTGTTGTTGTTGTTGTTGTTTTTTACAGAAGTACAGTAAAGATGCTGCAGTATTCACATTTACACAAAAAGAGTGCACATTCAAGCATGTCGGTCTCTTACCGGGACCATAGAGTAGGTCATCAGCATCAGCATATCTTTCTCGTCTTGGCTTTGTGTTGGGTTCTCCTGGTTTCTTCTGCTGCGGTGGAGCTTCTTCAGCTCTCCAGCCTGTGTGGGGTCCATGGGTAGGACTCCTGCCCGCAGGCTACAGCTCTGTGACAGTGCCTGCATCTGGGCGTCCAACCTGAGCAGCTCCTCTGTCAGCTCTCCCTGTCGAACCAGCAGGTACACCAAACCTGCTGAGCTCAGGAGCAGCAGTGCACACATGCCCACCAGCAGAACTTTCCACGCGAGAAAAACTCCACTCCTCTCCTTCATGTTTGTGTCCTGCTTCCTGGTCCTCCACTGCAGAGTGATCTGGGCTCTGAAATTCACAAGCACATACAGCACATATCTGAACACCTGCCAACAGATGATACGTCAGAGAGGAACTACGCTGTAAGCTGTTTGAGAGGAATAAACATGTCAAAATCTGTCTGTAAGTACAGGGGGAACCACGTGGTTGCATTGCACAACAACATCTGGGAAACAGTTAAAATCTAATAGGCCTTTCTTGATTTAGAAGCAGTTAATGGACATATTTCCAGAATGACAAATCCTGCAGACAGTGTAGTGCTTCTCATCATTCTGATGCTCTTCCTCTCAATATTGTCAACAGTCTGTCCTACACAAAATTACATGGAAGTGGAATAAATAAGTTGTGAACAAGGGGAACATTCTTCGGATCCACAAAGGAGCTTTCAGAGCGTTTTCAGTAAAAGGCTGTGGGTGTGTGGATGTTCGTGTGTATGTGTGGGTGCTGAAATCTCCTTTTATGTGTTTTTATTTATTGCAATATGAATGTACAAAAATAAAAATATAAAAATAATAGTTATAGTAATAGAAATTTCTTCTTCACTACTGCAGGTAATATGAAAGTGTCTCTGTTTTACAAAAAGTTCCAATTATCCAGTTGAGTTTCTACCACAATGAGGAAAAGCAAGTTTTTCAGCCAACTAGGGATAAAAGCCCCCACCAAAACCTCTAAATGTGAGGCCAACATCTTGATCAACAGCATACCAGCTATTCATAGGTAGTGAGCTTAAAGGACAGTTCTTTATAAGCATATACCCTCTGCATTAACTGCTGTGCTTTACAATTTTGCATCCATGCTCTATTTTTTTTTTAAGTACTGCAGCACTCACACTGTATTTTAATTATAAAGATGACATTTTCTCTCCTCTCTCTTTCCTTTTCTTTAACTGCTGGGTAAATGGTAAATCCTTGCTCCCTTTGACACAGGTCAGTCTGACCCAGCTGATTAATTTCCCCCTGAAAAGCCTTCTCGCTTGCTGAATTGGACGGTGGGGTTTCTTTCTTTTGAACAAAGCTAAATGTGAAGTAAGCCCATCTAAAAAAAATAAAACTGATGCAGAGCACAATCGATGAAAGACCTGAAACTTTTACATTCGTACAAATAAAAGACACTTTTTCTTGTTCTTCCTGAAGGTGCTTTGTGGTCTAGGCGTGCAATTTTATCTGGCCTGCCACGTAATGGTACTTGTACCTCCAAGTGGCAGGGTTCCTAAGCAACCAGTAAAGTGAGGGCTTAACCGAGGATTTATAAACACTTCATCACTGCGATTTATTTGGTAGAAGAAAGTTAATCATCTCTAGAACCAGTGGAGAAGGCGCTGCATCTCTTCAAACTGCACTCTAACTTGTCAGCAGCAGGAAAGAACAAGAGACGTACTGTAAGTACTATTCTTTGATCATTTAAATATTAAAATATTTGTAATCAATACGTTTAAAGATACTGCTTTAATGGTTTATATATGTAAAAATATGTTGAACCTGAAACAGAAATTTGAGTCATGAAATTCAGTTGAAATCTCTCTCTCATGTCTCTATTTAACTATGTTCTGCCACAAAGATTTCTTCACAATTAAATCAGAAAACATGAACATATTCAGAAATGCAATGTTTCTTTTATGAGGGAGGGCAACAATAATAAAATAATAAAGATATTTTATGATTGATAGACTCAAAATAAAAGTTTTTGCAGTCTGTAAGTGCAAACATTAAAGGATAAACTTCCAGCTAAGTGTCCAACTTTCAGTTTTGCATCAAGCGAGAGGGGTTTGAATCCTTCTTAAGAAAAGAAACTTTCTTATCATCACTTCAGTTGGACCCTGTTTTTATTTGTAAACTCACATTTTTGAATTTGAATTTGAATTTAATATGATACACTGTGTTATAATAATTATGTAAATAGTCAGTTACTTTTGCAACTCAATGCATGTAATATCTTGGAAAAATACACTAATGTTACAAGCATGATGAAGTTGCAATGACATTAGAAAATAAGGGAATAATCTGTCTACCACCCAGATGTTGATTCACATCCCCAACACATGATATCATAATTATCATAATATGTGGGTGTATTTTGGCTTTTATGTGTGCCAGTACAGAGCCACATCCCAGCCACGAAGGACAAGAGAATTACAAGGGATGAAAAGCAAGGCCATCCACTCATTTAAACACTGTTCTTTTTTGTTTTAACAAATAAATGAGCTTGGTTTGTCTGTTGGTTAAAGGAGAACGAAGCTTTATGATAACAGGTCAGCCAGCTCAGGTGTGAGTTCCTGGCTGGAGTTATGAATGGGATGCTGCCGCTGGAGACACTCACCATCTGCCCCATGATTTCTGATACACTGTCTGAAGTCACCACCCTTCTGCTGCTGCTGCTGCTGCTGCTGCTGCTCTTCACTGCCTGCAGCCGAACAAACTGCTCACACATACCGGGTAAGAGGCTTCAGCTTCAGACAGGGAAATTAGCTCCATAGTAAATGGTTCTGCATCACATTATATTGATGAAATAACATAATAGTTTATTGATTTCCATACAGGAGGTCCTCTGTTTTCACTTGCCCCTTACTGCGCAGACATAAAAGCACATTTAATCATTACCTGTGTCTTTCTGCCAGGTCCTTCCTTCTTGGCAGGACTAGGTCCTATTCTCTCCTACAGCAGATTCATCTGGACTGGGATAGGAACAGCGTGCAACTACTATAACAACAAATATGGCAGCATTGTCCGGGTCTGGATTAATGGCGAGGAGACCGTCATTCTGAGCAGGCAAGTCTTTTAAGAAAAAAACTGTTTATATTCACAATTTATCCCATAAATCTGTAGTAAGTCTGGCTGCTCTTGCAGGTCTTCAGCAGTGTATCATGTTCTGAGGAGCGTTCACTACACAGCCCGATTTGGGAGCAAAACAGGACTGGAGTGCATTGGGATGGAAGGGAGGGGAATCATTTTCAACAGCGATGTTCTACTCTGGAAAAAAGTGAGGACGTATTTTTCTAAAGGTAAGCAATTACCTTCACAGAGTATAGAGTGAAATCATTGTGGTACCTTTGTGGTAAAATATTTTATGCATGTGGTGGTGTGCTCTTGATACTAAGGGTTTTTCTAAAATTAGATTTAAAAAATAGCAATATATAAAATTGTTATTAAGATATGATTCTTGCCAATACACAGCCCTACTAATGAGCTAACAAAAATAAGTCCAACCCCTCCTGAAACACTGCGTCATTGTGTTTGAATTATTGTACTGTTGCATGGTTGTTTTACAGCTCTGACAGGCCCCGGCCTCCAGAGGACTGTGGGAATCTGTGTGAGCTCCACAGCCAAACACCTGGACCGCCTGCATGAGATTACCAAACCCTCAGGACATGTGGACTCCCTTAATCTGCTGAGAGCCGTAGTGGTGGACATTTCCAACAGACTTTTCCTCAGGGTGCCACTGAATGGTCAGCTGCATGTTCACTGTCAGTAAATATATTTCCAGTTCTTGCACTGACGCCTGCTGCTCCTGACTCTGTTTGTTGTTCCTCAAAACTCAGAAAAAGACTTGCTGATGAAAATCCAAAGCTACTTTGAGACCTGGCAAACTGTTCTAATAAAGCCTGATATATTTTTCAAGATTGGATGGCTGTACAACAAGCATAAGAGAGCAGCGTAAGGTCGTCACACTTTACAATAATTCAGCATTTGGCTTGTGGTTTCTTCAACCTAATCTTTGTGGTGCTTTTTGTGCCAACAGCCAAGAGCTGCAAGACGCGATGGAAAGCCTTCTTGAAATCAAAAGAAAGATTATAAATGAGTCTGAGAAGTTGGATGATGATCTTGACTTTGCAACAGAGCTCATCTTTGCTCAAGTTTGTCTCTTTTTATAGATACCACGTGTGTCGCAGAGTTGGTGTCATGTGTTTGCTGGGCTCTGCATACCTTACATTTTCTTTTTAACAGAACCTCGGAGAGCTTTCAGGAGATAATGTCAGACAGTGCGTGCTGGAGATGGTGATTGCAGCGCCTGACACGCTTTCCATCAGCCTCTTCTTCATGCTGATGCTGCTGAAACAATACCCAGACGTAGAGCTGAGGATAGTGGAGGAGATGAACAGTGTCTTGAGTAAGCACTGTGTTAATCTCAGTTTCACCCTCTGACAAGTAAAAATGAAACAATTCTGAACAATCAATGAATACTGCTTTTTCATTTCCAGGTGCAAAAGGTGCTGAAAACATCGATTATCAAAGGTTGAAAGTGCTGGAGAGTTTCATCAACGAGTCTCTGAGGTTTCATCCTGTGGTTGATTTCACGATGCGAAAAGCTCTGGAAGATGACACCATCGAAGGCATTAAGATTACAAAAGGAACAAACATCATTCTCAACATTGGTCTCATGCATAAGACTGAATTCTTTCCAAAACCCAAAGAGTTCAGCCTGATGAACTTTGACAAAACAGTAAGACAGCTGATTGGTGTGCAACAATATGTGGCTCTTGGAAACAAAAACAACAGCTGAGTCTTTACCTCTTCTGTTTGGCAGGTTCCCAGTCGTTTCTTCCAGCCCTTCGGCTGCGGGCCTCGTTCCTGCGTGGGCAAACAAATCGCCATGGTGATGATGAAGGCCATTCTGGTCACTCTGTTGTCTCGTTATACCGTGTGTCCTCGCCAAGGCTACACCCTCAACAGCATCAGGCAGACCAACAACCTGTCGCAGCAGCCTGTGGAGGACGAGAACAGCCTGGCCATGCGCTTTATCCCTCGAACAGCACAACCTTCACACAGTCAGCACTGAGACACAGAGGGGTTTTGGTGGAAACTACTATAGTATTGCCTGTGTTTTAAGTATGTAGCTGATATAATGAAGGGGATGAGCCTGCTGAGCTAATATTCCCTGAACAAGTTATACAAATGTGCAAAAAAAACTCTGGTACTCTGGGTATTTTATAGTTCAGTGTCGAGGAAGTAAACAGATTTGTCACTGCAGATGTTGCCTACATTGACATCAAGGACCTCTAAAAGAATACGGTTGAAGGTTTTAGCCAAAAGAAGAGTGGCAGGATGATCTTCTGGCTAATAGGATGCAGACTGAGCTGGTTTTTTATTTTGTTAATCCCAGTTTAATTTTGTTGATGAGAAGGTTGTTATCATGTCATATTTATATTTTACATATGGTGTGCGTTTCCTTTATTATAGAGGTTATAGTATTAAACATGATCAAAGTTATGGTATAGTGAACAGTGTTAGATGTAAACATGTAATCATTTCAGCACACACTGGGATGTGCAAAATATTAGGTGTTACACATTATTATGAGGTTAACCCTTACTGTCTCCATCTACATGTACATATCTATATCTATATCTATATCTATACACACACATATATAACATGTTTATAGTTCTTAAGAGATGAGAGATTGTTTTTTCTCAGAGTCTCAGTGAAGGGGATGTGTACTGTGTAAATAATTTTGACATTTGGTTTATGCTTAAAGTAAACAATGCTCATTCAATAAATACTTTTTTTTCATGTAGCAAATATCACATAAGGAGGAAATAACATCATAAAATGTTAATGAAAATGAGTTAATATATCTGTTTCATAGCTATTACAGATCATCAATAATCAAGGAGTCAAAATCAAGTGAATTTACATGTGTTGAATTTATTCATAAGTTAGCAGAATGTAGTGACAGGCACTCTAAGAAATATTAATTTCTCTGTACCACAGGCACAAATCAAACACGCCACCCTGGCATTAGAACATAAGGCGTTGGGTTAAAGTTTTAGACGCATTGTTAGCTTCACGCTGTGCTTCAAATCAGGACACAGGCAAAAAGAAAAAAAAAAAAAAGTAAACTTTCCCTTCAGGTTGAATTAAATAAAACAAGCTGAGACAAATCAGATCTGAGACACAATAATCAAACAGCACAATGATTCTTTCCTTTCAGAGAAGTGAATATAAAATATTTTCTGTAAGAATATAAATCCAATAAATATGTTAATACTGCATTGATACAAAAATATAATAATCAAAGACCGCTAAAATCCACCTCTCACCGAAACTGACAAACCAGAAACATGAGTGCATAGATAATCATATCACACAGAAGGCAGCATCTGCAAAACACGAGGGAAAACTGAAATGCTCCTCGTCAGAATGACAAACGGACAACACGGACATCGCAGAGTGAGATCTTCATTGCTACATTTAAGACAAAATACTCTCATCACAAATGTAAGACATACGTGTAACTACTGCAGTCAGAGGTTAATGTCAGCTTAATGTAACCCTTTAGACAGACAGGGATGTAAACCTCTTTTTACATCAGCAGCAAAGACGAGCAGGTTCTTTACTCAAAAGCAGCTCACTGTGAATATAAGTTTAAACTGTTTCCATACCACAAATAACAAGCAATTAATTTGGTACTCTTAAAAGATATCAATATTTTCCCTGTGCTACTCCAAAAACACCTAATAAATAACATCAACCAGTCCAAAGCAAGAATTTGTGTTCTTTCCATTTCAATCAGTATTGCTTCAATCAGTATTGATGAACTTGAAAAGGACTAAACATTTTAGTTAATACCAACAATGAAAGGAGCAGTGTGTAGGATTTAGTTTCATCTAGCAGTATAGTTACAGACCCTCCACATCAAAGCACAAAGGAGAAACTATCTAGAGCCTCCTATAGTGTTTGTTTGTCCCTTCTGGGCTACTGTAGAAACATGGCTGACTCCACAGAAGGCGACCCACTGCAACTGAAGATTCCTATATTACACATGAATGAAAACCTATGAATATTACATTTAATTTCTGCCAATAGATCCTCCTAAATGTTACACACTGGACCTTTAATGTGCTAAATGAAGAAAAGAGATGACGTTTGTATGTATTTGTTCGATTAAAATCTAAATGTGCTACACTGTCATGATCATTCTCACCAAGAAAATGTAACTAATGTTTTAAAATCATGTCACAAATCAGTAATCTCTGGTTATTTAGCATGCAGACCTGGGGGGTGCAAAAAGCAACTGTAGAAATTCATGATTTTCCCCTTATACCAATGATATCAAACTTAACATTCATTTCACCTCACAATGTTTCAAACATTGAAGTTTTCAAGTCATTATGGAGCCCTGTCATCATCTTAAGACATAAGTGTTATTCTGAAACGTCAAACACCCACAGAAGGTTAAAAACACAATATCTTGGCCCTGAGGTTTTTACCAACCATGACTTTCAAACTATTGATCCAGTGAACTTTTCCACTAATTAGTTAAAAATAAATCATTCATGGACAAAAAGCAAATCCTGCTGTGTACTTATAGTGGAAGTGACAAACAAATGTTAATATAAAGATGCACATCAGATGTTCTGTCTCCTGTTGTGTTCTGCACTGCTGCTCTGTGTACCTTCCTCTGCAGTGGTTGAGAGTCAGGTGATCGTGTTGCTCAGTGGCGTCAGTGGAGGTGTTGCAGTCGGGGTCAGTGCTCCTGTAAAGCTCTCTGACAGTGGTAGATCAGGCAGTCGGGAAGCTCGGGGACGGGAGAGCGCAGCCACACAGCCAGCGTTCCTGCATGCACACGACAGTGCATCAGACATGGCTGATCCTGGAGCAGCCGGCAAGCTACAATACCTTCCATACCTGTCAGACAAATGAATAAACGTTACTCACTAATAGTGTAGAACTCATGGGAATTGTAGGTTGCATTTAACACACATCAACCAGTTAAGAACTGCACCTTTCACATATGTGTGTACATATACGTCTATTTTAAAATATCCATACATCATGTTATGAGATGCCCTAAAATAATAGTAACAAAACTATTGACTTGAACTTGATGGTGGAACAAGTGAGTAAGTGGCTGAAGCCCTATGAACAATGTTTATCTGTAATCCTCTGTTAATATTGAGCAATTAATGGCTAATTATTCATTTATTTATTCAATATTTTTTGTGGCTTTTTATTGTCTTTAATTGACAGTGACAGCTGTAGAGTGACAGTAAAAGAGAGGGGATGACAGGCAGCAAAGGGCCACAGGTTTGAGTTGAACCCATGGTTGCTGCAGCAAGGACTCAGCCTTTTCCCATCTCTGAAGTTTCAGTTTATAGATGAATGTCTGGTCACCTATGATTTCCACGACATGAAGATGAAGTTTCTTCTTCAGAACGTTCAGAGTGGCTGTGAGAGATTCCTGGCCTTCACTTATCAGCGTCAGGTTCTGCTTTGTATCGTGAGAGAAGGCCAGCCACATTGTCCCGTACTCTTCTGTGGACACAGTCAAAGGTCTGAAGGAAGAAAATTACAGTAAGCAACTAATCATCTCTGCTCAGCCATACATAAAAGAAGAAAATATTTCACCTGATGAAGCTGGTTAGAGGGAGTTTGTATAAGAACTGGACTGACTGAGGCGTCCCAACAGGCAGCTGGTAAGATACCATCCCAACCACTTCAACATGGACTGAAGGCCTCTTCACAGTCAGGGAATACTGACAGACTGCTACACCGTGGCTTCTCACCTCCTGCACTGGACTGTCACACACACAGGATACCTGCAAAATAATCCACAGAAATGTCCTTTCATACAAAAGTCTAATAAAGAGATAATATGACTAATATTTATGCTCAATAATTACTGTACCTCAAGTTCATCTGAGTCAAGCTCTAGTAGTATCTGTTGAATGTCAGAGTCAGAGGAGTTGTAAATGAAAACAACTAGCGATAAAGAATCTTCTTTCTGCACGTGACAGGCTGAGAGATCCAGGCTTTGGTTGGAGCACAGAGGAGTGATTTCTGAGTGGGGGAGGCCAGAAAGCTCTGCAGGAAGATGAGTATTGAGACACAAGTCTTTAGGTCTGTCTGGGTCCTCATGTGGAGTAGGATCGGCAGCTACAACAACGCCGTTATCCCTAATGAGAGAGGGGTTACTTCGCTTTATGTCACTCTCAGCTAACTCTACATCACAGGTGCCATTTGCAGTAGTTAGGTCCTCAGAGAGCTCAGATGTCTGTGTCGGTGAAGAAACATGCAGCTCTGAGGTGATGTTGGAGTCCAGGAGGTTGTCACACAGCAAGTTATCCACTGTGCTCGGAGTAGAGACAAGGGAGTTGGATATCTGCTCGCTGGCAGCCGAGGACGAGCCCGGACTTTTGGCTTTTCTTCTGAATCGCTGGGGTGTCGGCTCAGATTTTCCCATCTGCTAAAAGAAAAAGGTTCTAGTTCTAACAACACATGTTTTTGTAGATGTATATTTTTTTTAAATGATTGTGAGAAAGTTAAGTTTTACAGTAAACATTGCAAAGGGCTGCAAAATCACATCAGAACGGCTGAGATTTACAGAGCCAGTAGATCCTGTGTACAGCTGAAATGATTAATCAGCTATTTTGATTACTGATTAATCATTTAAATCACATTTTGTTGTTCCAGGTTTTCAACTGTGACGATTGGCTGCTTTTCTTTGTCTTTTGTGAAAATTACTTAAATATCTTAGGCTTTTGGACTGTTGAAGCATTTTCTGACATTTTATAGACCATACGATTATCAATTAATCGGCAGATTAATCAATAATGAAGATAATTGTTAATTGCAGCCTTAAAGGTCAGTGTGTAGGATTTAGTGACATCTAGCAGTATAGTTTCTGATTGCAACGTTCTCGCCTCTTACGGTTGCTGCAAAACTTAAACGCTAAAGGACCTTTCTAGAACCAGTGTTTGGTTTGTCCGTTCTGGGCTACTGTAGAAACAGGGCGGTTCAACATAGTTGTCTCCATAGAAGAGGACCTGCTCAATTAAAACAGCTCACCAGACACACAGAGCTTTGCAAGCCCAGGCCGACAAACAGCGAAGAGGCCAGCTGCTGTTTCTCGTGTTCGGGCTCGGGGGTCGGTATCGGAGTGGGAGTCTGGCTGTGGGAGCTGTCAGCCTCTCCCTGCTGGCTGGGTGACCGCAGGGGGCTGGGAAGCTCAACCTGGGCAGCCTCCTCCACAGACTCCCTCTGTGCCAGGTATCCCTCCTTCCCCCACACCCTCTTCACACCGTCCAGCTTCAGAGTTGTAGAGCTGAAACAAAAATAAAAAAAGAATGAGTTCTAAACCAGCCATGCATTTGTGTGTAAACTGTTTTAATTAACACAGCATAAGAATACGCTTTGTGTCTACGTACCCTCCCTTATGTGAGTGGTCGGTGCTATTGCCTGACAGACCAGAGCTCATGGATAACAGTGTAGGAGACTGCCTGTCTGCGATGCTGCAGGAGGACATGCTGATGGGCAGGGACAAGCCGTATGGCTCCAGGCTCAACGCTGACGCAGACAACACAGTCAGGAACAAATTAACACAAGGCAGTTCTGGCAAATCTGCCACAGTCTGAATGTTTTTCCTTTATTATTTTACCTTTTGCCTGAGCCAGTTCCTCCTGACGCTGATGGGGAGGCTTGTATGGAGCAGCGCCAGCAGCCAACGCCTCTGACACAAATCCATCCAGAAACGACAGAGATGAATCCACCTGGAAACAACAACTGCAAGTTTCAACTTC